ATTTTTAATTGTGTACCAGTTTAACGTTGAATAATATTTATGATTTTAACTTTATACACAAGTGCCAAAATACTATAATTGATATCATGAGTAAGGATAACAATTTTCAAGTACAAAATTTGTATCTGTGTGATCATTTTAACAAAAAAAAACGTCTTATACAATACGCATCTGTTTGTTAGCGCTAATTAGTTCTAAATGTTGTATTAAAATGTAACTCGCTGGAATTTGTGAGCACACTTGAATGGAATGAAAGCATGTTACGTTTCATATGAACAACTAACATGTATGTATCCTTTATTTAAGGGTAACATTCTATTTGTAGTTTAGATTCCCACATAAAGGCCCACAACCGTTTTTTTTTTTCATGATTTATACGAGTATTTCTAGTTAACCAGTTTTAATGTGTTGTTGCTAAGGGAGTGCTGCGTACTTCAGAAAAGGATCTATTTTGAAAATTTAAAAACGATCTTATAAGAGTTTCATGACTTCATTTGTAATGACACTAAAACCTGAAACCTGAAAAGATATATTTAGCTTCTAGTTAATATCACTCCCTGTTTTATTAGTGTTTTTTCATATACTTTTATATTTTTCTGTATGTTCTAATGTATTCTAAAGAAAATTCATTAGGACAAATAACCTCAAGTTGGAGTTTAGCTTATAAACCAAATTAATATACAGAGGGATGAGTACGTTATATAAAAAAGGGCTTCGAGCCTTACCATACCACATCTGGTTATGCTCTATTTGACTACCGTTCATATTAAGAATAGCCCTACGGCGTAGTTTCATTGCAAAAAGCTCTGGTTGTAAGACTGTCACGTCCAAAGCACACCATTCTTCCCAGTTTACTTTCCACAATTCATCTAGTGTAGGAGAACGACGGTTTCTCAAAGGCCATTTGAAAAGCCCGATCGCTCAAAATGCATAGGCGCTGCGTCTGCTGACTTGAACGGTGTGGCTTCGTATTGGAACAGTATGCATACTTGTTTCATTCTTCAGCTGTTTGAAGTGTGCGATGGTTAAACGTATAATTTTTGTGAACTCATACCCTGTCAGCATTTTTTCCATTACGAGGTCCTTCTAGGTTATGTTCCGTATTGTTGCCCAGGGGTACGTGGACGGCTTTTGCTAATGACATTTGTGTTGGTGGATTCTCACCTTAAAACACACCACAGTTTACATATATAATGGTTGGGGTACGACTTGTTGCGGGTCTCTTTATGGATTATCATGGTGCCCCAAGTTCTCCTTTATTCTCCAATGTCATTAAAGGGATATCCTTGTCTTGGAAATTCTAAATCTTCGGTCTGAACACATCTTTGTGATATGAGTGTATGAATATTTTGCTTTGGAAAAGACTGTTACATACTCTTTACAAAAGTAATCAATTTTCAGTGAAATCACGCTACCTACGAAGCCCCAAATAATGTCAAAATGTATCGTTCTGATACATTCCGTTCCACTACAACTTTATATCGGCTCTTATTGTCATGTGGCTTCCTGAACTGCATATTCAAAATTGTTTTAATGTAACGTACTCAACCCTTTATGCCACCTCAAAATGTGTATTAATGTTACTATATTTTGTGCAGGCTTTATTTTATTCAAGAAAATATTTTTAAAATGCTGATTCGCGTTTTCTTTATACTGTATTAACATTTCTGTTGTATACTAATGTTTTATTTTCTATTTCATAGGTTCAGAAAAGAGACTGCAAGAACACGAAGTAAGTTTTATAGTTATGAGTCACGTATACTAATGAAATAAAAAAGTGCACAGATATACATGTATGAACAACAAAGCAATTTTTGTGTTCGATATTACAATAAAAACCAAAAGCAATTACAATAGTTTCAGCAATTACAGAAGATGAGATGAAATGGAATTGGAAAAGGAAAGGATGAGATGAAGTAATACAGCAGAAAATATTTTCTTTCTGTCAAATCTATCACACTCTCTCGTTATCGACTCAGAACCTGTTCCTCCTTATTGTTATACTGGCTGGCTGTCGATGCTTGTGAGGAGCAGAAATTAAACAATCTGATTACACGGACCTGGTATTGATGACTGCTGATAACGCTTTCATTAAATTCAATGCACGCATTCTGTGAACGTAGTTGAACTAAAAGTTGATATTAAGTACATATAGGGAATAAGTAATTCGGTTAGTGTGGCACTAAAACAGCGTAGGGTTAGTACTCTGATTTAACTTAATTGAAAATAACTCAATATTTCAAACGTCACTTTCGCTGTTCAAATGACTGCATTTGAGAAACCGATGGCTACAGTATTGTAAAATTCAGTGTGGAGGCCACTTAGGCTATTCGGAAGAAAACATGTACTTGTAATGATCATCCGTTGGGTCAGCGGTAAGTTCGGACTTACAGCGCTAAGATCCTGGGTTCAATTCCCCGTGATGTCACAGCCCAATGTGGCTTTGTTCTAAAACAAACAAACGAAAAACAACATTTTAATGACTTGTTCAAAATTTCTTCAATGTGATTTTGGACGACAGCTTTTATATCGACGTAACATATAGTGTGAGCATGATGCCATCATAACACACTACAAAACTATGTAATTTGTCTTCCCCATGGAAAATGGGTTTGCACACAGTATCATGAACGCAATTGTGTGAATCGCAGAGATGACTTTTGAAACACCCTGTAAATTTTACACGCACTAAGGGAAAAGTTTAAAGTCTCGCAAAACTATTTAATTGTTGAAAAAGTTAAATTTCTTGAAATCCCAAAATAAATGAATTTAAATTACTTTCAACTCTACAACTATAACCTTTCATACGAAGGATTAAGTAAAATGAGTGTACATTTAAACTGTATATTCTTAGTTATGAAGCTTGTGAAAAAAACGCTAATTATTTATTATGTGTTAAGCAAAGAGCATCTTTAATAACGTTAATAAATATTTCATTTATTTAAACAAAGAACAATCGAATTGTGCAATGTGCATCCCTACTAAGACATTATGCTTTACATTAAAATGAAAACAACGGGAACATAGAGTAGAATCCGGGTTTCGATACCCGTGGTGGGCAGAGCACAGATAGCCCATTGTGTTGCTTTGTGCTTACCTTCAAACAAACAAAATTCTAAAACTTTTTCACTGCTATACATCAAATCTGGAAGAATCCAAACCAAAAACATCTAAAACAATACAACATTTATAATTCTTTAGATAAGATCATGATTTTTGGTTAATGGAAAGTTTTAATATTTGATTATCGAGAGGAACATCTCTCTGTATTTGCTACTTTTTATTATGAAGATCAGTTAATAAATAAAAATCTACACAATAATGAAAGTATAAAATATATACCAGGGGAAAACTCATGGTTTATGTACGAGACATTTTTAGTTGTAATTTGCATACCAATTTAACAACTGTGTTGTTTGAGCAAATTTTAACCAAACAACAAACCTGGTAATTACGGATACCTAGCATTAATATTTTAAATAGTAATAAGGTTTATGGTACCCGATGAAAACATTAAAATATTGTTATTGCCTTGAAGAATATGGTTAAATTGCACAGGCCTGCGATGGCTTTATTATCTTAAAATTTGTACATGTTCTACAGTAATTCCTGTTCGCTGAATCCGAAAATGATATCGATTTTTCTCCAGCACGTACAGATTTTTCACAAAACGTCATATGTACTTTAACATAAATGAATCATTTTCATTGAAATCGGGTCAAATTTTTTATGCTTAAAATTTTGACAATCTCTGGCTTAGATTTCTATAAACCAATAACGACGTGATGGTCTTATCGATCGTTCTAGAACCCACGAAAAACACACCACTTGTATATAAACAGTTAACAGGCCACATGGCGTGTCATTTATAGATATGCATGTTTATGTATGCACTTTGACATTATTTTTCTTCTTTTAAATATTATTCATTCGTTTCTATGGCAAGTTGTACAATTGACCCAAACATATTCTGTTATATTTGTGGTAAATTTGTTGTAAAGAAACAAAGGCAAAACATTACAGAATTCATCTAGAAAATTTATTACGCGTATTTTGGAATAAAACTTGTGGACCGAGATAAATCATGGGTGCCGCACAAAGTTTGCACCCTTTGTGTCCAAGAATTGAGACAATGGACTAATAGTAAGAAAAATTATTTGCCTTTTGGAATTCCAGTTGTCTGGCGTGAACCTAGAAACCACGGAGATGACTGATATTTGTTTTTTGCCCGTGTAACGTGCAAGGCTACAACACTCAAAATAAAAAGGAAATTTCTCATCCGAACCTTCAATCTGCTTTTCGACTTGTTGCTCATGGACCTGATGTATCTTTACCTACTCCACCAGAGACTCTTGATAATGTTTCATCTGGTTCTGAATCTGATGTCAATAGAAATTATGATAGGGATTGTTTTCAACCTGAAACGTCTGGTTAACCACAACTTTTCACATAAGGTGAACTTAATGATTTGGTGAGAGATTTGAGCATTCCAAAGGATTCTTCACAGATTTTGAGGTCCAGACTTCGGGCTAAGAACTTACTTTCTCCAGGGACATTATTTTACTGGTACAGAAATCGTGAGAAAAAGTTTATATCATACTTTTTGCAAGAAGGCTCACTGGTTTATTGCAACAATTTTACTGAATTAATACCATGCAGTCTATGAACCAAGTGAGTGGCGATTGTTCATTGATTCCTCCAAAAGAAGCCTAAAAGATGTTCTCTGTTGCACCTCTATGCATCTGTTCCTTTTGCTCATTCAGTTCACTTGAAGGAAACATACGAAAATCTCGAACTTCTTTTTAAAAAGGTCAAAGAACATGATTGGCTACTTTGTGGAGACTTAAAAGTCCTCCGTATGTTGTTGGGTCAACAATCCAGTTATACAAAGTTTCCATGTTTTTGTGTAATGGGACAGCAGAGCACGAAATCAGCACTGGATAAAGAAGCAATGGCCACGCTGAGTCAACCTGATACCAGGATAGAAAAAC